GATAAATGGTGTACTTATTATTTGTACATTCCTGATATTTATAAAATAGGTATTATTTGTGATCCACGAAAGGGAAAGAAAGGTATTATTTGTACATTCCTCATTATTTTGCCGGCATAGTCGGTGGGCTTCTTGCAAAGAAAGGGAAACGTGCCCAGTCTTCGACGAGTTCAAGTGGTACAACAGTAAGCTCGCACAACGAACTTGCTATGTACCAGGGTGTGCCATGCGATTACGATGACGACGATGTCGATTTTGACGTGCTCGGATGGTGGAAGCGGAACGAACACATGTTCCCATGTCTCGGCATGCTAGCAAGACAAGTGTTGTCCGTCCCAGTATCAACCGTAGCAGTTGAACGAGAATTCAGTGCTGGCGGCAACATTCTAACCGACTACCGAAGTTGTCTTAACGCTGAATCTCTTGAAACACTGGTTTGCAACCAAGATTGGCTCTTGGCAAGACGTCGGGCTCAAGAGTCATCGTACCAACTCGAATCGGAGCATTACATGAATGCAACCACAGATGGAAGTCCGAGTTCTGAAGAATAAGTTATAAATTTTTTTTATGTTAATGTAAATATGTAATTAATTTTTTTAGGTGAGCGATATATAAGCTCCTTCGAGGGTTTCTTTACGGTTCTTTATCTCGTCGCTTTTTTTGAACCGTCAGGATATTAAATTTGGTTGTTCTTCAGTTAGTGTATTACTCATTTTCAATATTTAAATAACAACTACATTTTTAGATTTTTTATTTCATTCTTTCCTTAAACAATTGCAAATTTACAATTTTATAATTTAAAAATTTAAAAAAAAAAATAGGGGGGGAAACCGGCCGGTCCGGTACCGGAACCGCCGGTCCGGGAACCGGAACCGGTACCGGCCGGCACGGTATCATTTCCGGTTACTCGGGGTGGCGGTACCGGAACCGGCGGTTCCGGAACCGGAACCGTCCCGGAACCGGAACCGTCCCGGAACCGTACCGTGTCCACCCCGAGTCTGTGCATTACCCTGCGAACAACTGCTGACTGACGATTCCGTGATAACTGATAACAATGAAATACTCATGTTTCCCATGTGCTTTTTTTTTGGCTTACAAGTTAAAACTAGAGTACAAGTTTTTGGTGGTTTGATGGGCTTTTGAAATTTAAAAATTCAAATAACAATACAAGTAGGGTAACAAACACCTCTGGGGTCAGTTGTTCTGCGGCCTGCCTCTACCGCCTCTAAAACGGCCACCGCCCCTGCGATTTGTTTGCCGGCCGCCGCGAAAGCTCCTTGGCTGATCAGAACTCCGATGACTCTCCGGCGCGGCGGAAGCAGGCGGCGGCCAAGAATCATTACTGGTTGTTCCACTTTGAGGTGCATTTGGAGGTACCATTTGATGGCTCAGATTCATCATGGGCAAAACTTGTCCAAATGGAGACCCACTTTGAGGTGCATTGGGAGGTAGCATTTGTTGGCCTGGATTCACCATGGGTAAGCTTTGCCCAAGTGACTGCTGTTGGTTGAATATCCCGAAACCCGGCTGTGCACCGGGAACCATAAAGTTAGCGGGAAACAATGGACCAGCAGGATTACCTTGTGCGTTTCCCATAGGCATGTTGAACATCGGCTGCGGGTGGTTCTGTGGGGCCCCCCAATGCATGTTCATAGCCGGGAATGACATCATCATCATCTGCTGCGGCGGTTGCATCATAGGGAAAGAAGGAGACCAACTGTTTTGTGGCTGCTGTTGACATGGCATTCCTCCGCCACTTGATGGGGCCCCGCCACCGTGAAACTGTGCCAGTTGATGAGCAAGTGTAGAACCTTGTGCTGGCTGGCTTTGGTCAACCGGAGGAACGCTAGTGTTTCCATTGCAAAAATTACCTCCACCACCAGCTATTGTTTGGTTTTGTTTTTGATACACCGCCGGTCGGTTTCTTACCTTCTTGTCCAACGTTGTGTTCCCCCCAAATCTCTGTTCAGTAGGGCCACCCCTCTTTTTCATTTTCATCATCCGCTTGTATTCGGCTTCTTTCTCGTCGTCCGAAAACTCTCCCTCGTCGGATAGCTCCTCGTCATTCTCCCCGGACGCATCGTATCCCTTTTTGTAAATATTCTTGTCGTTGAGGACGTGATGTGCAAATTCCTGAACGAAAGAAACCAGGGTTCCTTGTTGGATTCCGTCCGGCACTTCGTCTTCTGAATTGTACCTTACAATATAGTAAGGGTTCTTCACGGGCCCAAATATTTCGTCCACTATCCCAAGCGGGGTTCGGGTTTCGGTAATCCATAGAATCGAACCCTCGTTAAGAGGGTTGTGCTTCTCCATGCCTTCGACTATGACTTGAGCACCAAGTATCTGCATCATACACGGCGTAAATAACAAGGAGAACTATTTTTTTAATTAATCAATCAATCATAGCATAGTAATTTGTTTTATTGGTTCCCCATGGCCTTACTGAAGAAATGCTTCCAACAGGAAGGGTCTGGTGATGGGGTTGAATAGTCACATTGACCGGCGGAACAAAAGGGAGTTCCTGCAAAACACATACAAAGAAAGTATCTTATACATCTGGCAAAACATGAAGTTATTGGGATTTGTATTGAATATTCTCTAATCTTTAAAGGGCATCCTCTACTACTGTAAACATTCAGCCCTTTAAAATTGAAGTTACTAAACAAGACCAAAAAGTGCCCAGTTTCAGAGGTCCAGCCAAGAGAGTTAACCCTTAAATGGATTCTTTGCAAATCCAGTCAGAGCCATGCTAGGTTGTATTGAAGAGGGAAAAGCTGTAAAACTATTTGTTCACTGGTTCAACATGTTAAATAAAAATTACACAGTTTTTTTTCTAACAAAATAGTTGAACATGAATGATGAAATGTAGTTATATACGAACACCTTTTTGGTTTTAATTTTAGTTCTTAACGTATACAGAGTATTACTGTACATTGTTTTATCTAAATGTTCTGCACTTGTCTCATAATCCGTCTGCCCCAAAAAGACAGTCACGGTTTGACTTTTACTTTCCAACTTTGCCCTTACTTTATAGTAGGGTACATGGGTAGATTAATAGTGAAAAGATAAGATGTGATATGTAGGTTAGTAATTAGTAGCAGTAAAAGCGAGAGTTAGTTAGAGGCAAATGCACAATTATTGAGAAACACGAGTTGACACTTTTATAAACTCATAAGTGAGAGCAATAGAAATGCAAAAATAAAGTATTACCTGCAGCTCATTCTTAGACCTTATTGGTCCCTTAGGACCACTTCCCTCCACACCATCATCACCATCATCACTCCAAGCAACCATATCATCTGCACCGCACGCTAAGATCTCACCTTCTTCAATGTCTGTATCCTTTCTATTGATATTACATCCTTCATTATCCTCAAGGTCATCGTCATCTTCGTTATCATCATCACTACTGGATGCAGAGGAAGATGAAGAAGACGAGGTATCAGACTCAGACTCAGACTCAGAAGAGCTCTCATCTTTACCAATATCTACTTCATGACTCGTTACTCCTTCCTCATTTCCATTACCCGTCGTAGTGATTTTTGCATAATGATCGCCCGCACTACTCTTTACACCATCAATGTCCTCGCTATTCATAACTTGAGCTTCCTCCTTCACAGAAAATGCACCGTTTAAATTAACATTTTCCATCTCCTTCTCAATCAAACAACCCAACTCTCCCACCGTCACATATTCACTACAAGCCACTACCTCCTCCTTAACTTTAACTTCCTCACCACTACCCATTTCTGCTCCCTTGTAACAAATCACCTCCCCGCTATTTTCAGCTTCGGAACAGCTCATTAAACCCGTATTTTCTTTTCCCTCCAGATGTTCCACCAGTTCACGAACTCCATCACAGCCGAATTCACTTGCAGCTGAATTCACCATCTGCATTCAAAGCAAACTCCATGGTATAGTAAAATAGAGTATAGGTATCAAATGGTCAATAACAAACTAAGTGACACGTCCTATAGCAAATTCAAGAGCGAGGATGGGGACGAAAAATGGCATCTTTAAAAATTACAGGAAATAAAAAAGTAACAAAACACACTGAAAATAGAATCATAAAAGTAAAATTCATGATTAATTAGCAAATAGAAATCCAAAGTCATATGCCATATGACAAATTATTAAATTCAAATTTTAAAAAAATTCAAAACTGTACATTATTTTATATAAAACATCAAAACTATATTCTTAAAATACTTTGACAAATAAAGATATAAGAGTAGAAGATGAAGTTTGAAGAGAAGACATCATGGGGAACCTGTGGGTTTTATGAGACCAGATGAAAGGCTTAGAAAACGAGTCTGCTACTGCGCTTTCTCCCAGAGTGTTATAGCCAAGCTGATGTGGCAGTGGTTGTTAGTGGTAGTTAGTTGGTTAGAAGTGTGTTGGGTCTGTTAGCTGATCATTCACTTGTATAAATAGGTGGCCTTGTACTTTCATCACACATCATGAATAAAGATCAATTTTCTCTCTCCCTCTTCCTCTCTCATTCTCTCCCCCTCTCCAAAATATCTTCTTTCCACCTTCTTCTTCAGCAGGTTCTGTCACCATTTCTGTTTCTCTTTTAGCAAGATTATTCTTGCTATTGCATTGGTATCAAAGCTCGATCCCTGGCCAGCGTCAAGACTGATCTTCACCGGCGGCAGAAATCCTGAGTTGCAGCCATGGATGCTCAATTCAAGGTTTTGGAAGGAAAATATTTGAGTGTTGATGAACGGATTAACGAGCAGGAGAAGAAGTTAGATCAGATCATGCTGATTTTGAAGAAAATGGAAACTAATATAGGCAAGGAGAAGGATT